AACTGCATAAAGTCATATGAGCGCCAATTAAGGGGTGGATGTCAAACGAGGAATCAGGCTTACTCTGCTCACCTCTCTAGCCTCAATAGCACAAAGTTTTCTTCGACCATCAAGGCACCCCGGAAATAGCAGTTCACAAGAGATTGACAAACATATGAAAGAAGTAGAGGACAAAGGACGATAATGAGGATGAGAAAATAAAAAGCAGCAGTTCCCTCTATGTTGTTCCAGCACAGTATGAGCATGACATTGATAAACCCGCCCGTTTACAATTCTACTGTGCATAACAACATGAAATGCCCCCCCCCCTTTTTGGGGGGGAATGGCCTAAAAGACACTTCAGTCAGTGGCACCGCCCCGGGGGTGGATGATTTTTTGTTTAAAAATGTCAGTACGCTTTACGTTCCCATTGAAACAATTTAGCTCATTATGGAGGGAGGGTTTCGATCCTGTCTGTCAGGATCTTCCCGGGCTGAAAGGGGTGCAACATCCAGGAGAAAGACGGGAGATACTTGATAAAAATTACCCCCTTTAGTTTTAGTAAGCGTATTACGGCCCTTGCAACACAACAAGGTCATATAAGTGCCGAAGATTAGAGGTGTTACAAGAGAGTAACAAACACACAAAAAAAAGGAGGGGAGATAGAGACGATAGATTTTTTATAGTATAGGAAAGAAGGAGCAAACAACACCAGAGTACCCGCCAACCACCCACAAACCGGGGTCTTCTGCGTGCTACAACGAAACGCCCAACCACTACACCACAATTGCCGTTGGTACCTGGCGGCGGTGGTGATAATAGTGATGGAGGTGGCGGTACCTTTCGATCATCAATAGGAAGCCTCCGTGAAAGAGAACGGGGACATGAATAAGGAGAGAAAGACTGGCAAGCTTCACACAATTGCGTGCCAACACAGAAGAAGACAGCTTTTTTAAAACATCTCGAGGTAATTAACATCTTCCCAGGACCACATGCACGAAACGCATTACGAGAGTACGTCTGAGTGTGGTTGCTAGTGGCGAACTGTGAGTGTGTTTGCTTTAGTAGAGGTTTTACGGCGCTCACAACTGCATAAGGCCATAATATGAGCGCCAAGGGGTGGATGTCAACAGAGAAGTCCTTGCAGGGAATCAGACTTACTCTGCTCACCTCTCTAGCTTCAACAACACAAAGTCTGCTTCGACAATCAAGACACCCCAGAAATAGCGGGTCACAAGAGTGTGACAAACATAAAAAAGAAGTAGAGGAAAAGACGATAGTAAGGATTAGGAAAGAAAAAGTAGCAGTTCCCTGTTGCACTTTAGGCACAGTTGTGAGCATGACATTGATGAATCAGCCCGTTTACAATTGCAATTCTACCGTGCATAAGAACTCAAGATGTAAATGTGCCCCCCCCCCTCCCATCCCTTTGGGAATGGCCTTGAGACACTTCAGTCAGTAGCACTTCCTTGTGCTGGGTTACATATGTAACGTCTAAGTACGATTCTGACTTCAATTTCTACAACAAAGATCGGTGGATAAGACGACCCCCTCCCTCTCT